CTAAAAAGGCTCTAAAAGTCCTTCTCCTACATGGAAACCTTGATATTCTTGTCCACGAGGCGAAAAACCTTCCAAACATGGATGTGTTTCATAAAGCAATGGGGACAAGTGACCCTTATGTCTCCATTGCTATAACAAGTGCAGTTGTTGGAAGAACATATGTTCTTACAAACGTTGAAAACCCGATTTGGAATCAAAGATTTAATGTCCCTGTTGCACATCACACTGCTGAAATCCATTTCCTTGTGAAAGATAAGGATGTTATGGGGTCACAGCTTATAGGAGCTGTTGCAATAGCTGTTGAACATATATATTCGGGATCAAAAATCGAAGGTTTTTTCCCTTTAATCAACGCAAACGGAAGACCTTGTAAGAATGGAGCTGGTTTAGCACTCACAATGCAGTATTTCCCAATGGCAAGATTGTCTTTTTACAACTTTGGAGTTGGAGTGGGACCTCAATATATGGGTGTTCCCGGGACTTATTTTCCTTTGAGGAGAGGAGGGAGGGTTACTCTGTATCAAGATGCACATGTCCCAAATACAACCCTCCCTGATATCAAGCTAAGTGAAGATGTGGATTATGTTCATGGGACTTGTTGGATGGATATATTTGATGCAATTACTAATGCACAACGTCTTGTTTACATAACGGGTTGGTCTGTGTGGCATAAAGTGAGATTAGTGCGCGAAGAAGAGGAGGAATCACCATCGACTCCTTTAGGAGAACTTTTGAAAGCAAAAGCACAAGAAGGTGTTAGGGTTTTGCTGCTTGTTTGGGATGATCCTACTTCAAGAAACATTATGGGCTACCAAACAGTAAGTTAGTTATTCACTTGATTGATTCTTGAAATGAAGAATAATTTGAGGAAATCGGTATATGACTTTTAGTATGTGTAGGATGGATTAATGGCTACACATGATGAAGAAACAAGGCGATTTTTCAAACATTCTTCAGTGCAAGTCTTGCTTTGTCCTCGAATGGCTGGAAAAAAGCATGGCTGGATGAAGAAGAAGGTTATATATTTATTTTTTTTTAAATCGAGGTTTTGAATTTGATAAAAGATACTAAAAGGTGTATTTTTTTATAGAAAGTTGGAACGATATATACACATCATCAGAAAACCGTGATTGTAGATACAGATGCTGGAAATGGTAAAAGAAGAATTATATCTTTTATTGGAGGACTTGACCTTTGTAATGGGCGATATGATACTCCACAACATCCCATATTCAGGACTTTAACAACTCTTCATTCAGATGACTATCATAATCCAACTTTCACAGTAAATATTTCAAATTCAATTACACGTTTGTTTGTTTTTAAGGGATGTTTTAAAACATAATGCAAAGTAAAAAATAAATAAATAATGACAGGGGAGTGTTACTGGTTGTCCAAGAGAACCATGGCATGATTTGCATAGTAAAATCGATGGGCCCGCAGCGTATGACATCATGACAAACTTTGAGGAAAGATGGATAAAGGCTTCAAAGCCTCGGGGTATTAAAAAACTTAAGGCTACATCTGATGCTTTGTTGAAATTGGAAAAGTTTCCTGAAATTTTGGGTGCAAATGATGAACCTTGCCTTAGTGATGAAGACCCTGAAGGGTGGCATGTACAGGTAATAATAATTACCAAAAAACCATCTTTCTTGAAATTTTGCTAAAAAGAACAAGAATAGTAGATGTGGATATATGAAAATGCTTCTAACAAAATGACATTTTCTGACATGTAAACAAGAAAAACGAAAAAGACAGAATTTTTATTTTGATTGATGCAGATTTTCCGTTCGATTGATTCAAACTCTGTTAAAGGATTCCCAAAGGATCCACATGTAGCTACAGCCAAGGTGATGAGATTTGAACAAACATTTTGTTAAACGGATTATTTTTTCTATAGATGATTAATAAATAAAGTTATTTGAACAGAATTTGGTTTGTGGAAAGAATGTGATGATTGATATGAGCATACATTCTGCATACATAAAAGCCATTCGTTCTGCACAACATTTCATCTATATTGAAAATCAATATTTTATTGGATCTTCATACAACTGGAAGTCTTACAGAGAGTTGGGTAAGGAACATTTGTTTGTAAACTGATATTATTTAATAAATATGAAGTTTAATGGAGTATTTGATTGATTATATATGATTAGGTGCCAATAATTTGATTCCAATGGAGATTGCACTTAAGGTTGCTAGTAAAATCAGAGCACAAGAAAGATTTGCTGTGTATATTGTGATCCCGATGTGGCCAGAGGGTGTCCCCACGGGGTCCGCAACTCAAAGGATTTTATTTTGGCAGGTAACAAATACAACGCAATATTTGTTCACTGCTGCTATATTTTTCAAAGTAAAATGTAAAGTAAGCAAATTAATTTGCAGAATAAAACAATGCAAATGATGTATCAAATTATCTACAAGGCTTTGGTGGAGGTTGGTCTTGAAGAGGCGTTTTCACCGCAAGATTATTTAAATTTCTTTTGTCTTGGAAACCGTGAGGCCTTGAGCCCGACTGATAGTTCGCATAGCCATTCCCCTGATAATACTCCTCAGGTTAACATTCATTGGTTTTGAGAAAAATAACAATGTTTCTATTTATGGAAAGTTATTATTTATGTATATATATATATATATATATATTTTTATTTTTATTTTTAGGGACTTGCCCGAAAGGGACGGAGGTTCATGATCTATGTTCATTCGAAAGGAATGATAGTGGATGACGAGTTTGTGCTTTTAGGCTCTGCAAACATAAATCAACGCTCTATGGAGGGTACTCGAGACACTGAAATTGCAATGGGAGCTTATCAACCTCATCATACTTGGGCTAAAAACCTCACGGATCCACGTGGACAGGTAAAACATGACATGACAGTTGTACTGTGTTTGCGACTGAAACTGACAGTTTGTATTGTGTTTGACATGCTCAAAGTGATATGATATGCCATGATAGTTTGTATTGTGTTTGACGTGCATTTGACTAGGACTGACATGATAGGTTGGAGTGAGACTGATATACTGATATTTTAGAATTTTGATGGATTTTGAAGGTTCACGGATACAGAATGTCACTATGGGCGGAACATCTTGGGACGGTTCGAGAGTGTTTTGAAAAACCGGAGTCAATTGAATGTGTAAGACAGGTTAGGTCAATGGCTGAGGCCAACTGGAAACAGTTTGCAGGAGATGAGATATGTGAAATAAATGGCCATCTTATGAAGTATCCTGTGGAGGTTGTTCGAAGTGGCAAAGTCAAATCTCTTCCTGGATTCGAGAACTTTCCGGATGTAGGAGGTCAAATAATTGGCTCCTTCCTCGGGATTCAAGAGAATTTGACTATTTGATTCATGTTGTAAAGATTATTAGGGTTCTTGAATCCGTCCCCCCCCCCCACTTTTTTTTTTTTATCAAAGGTTTGTGTTGTTAAAAGGATAAATTCTAGTGTTGCAATATTTGACATCAATATATGTATAAATATGAAAATGACCGGTTTTTTCCTCTTATGATTCGATATTATACTCTTAAAATTTAAATCATGTATTATCATTACATATCTTATATCAAAATGTCTTATAATCACCCAAAGGAAAAATCATTAGTAAGAAAAAATTATAATTATTTTTTTCTAATTCTGGGCATGCACCATGTATTTGGATCTTATACTATAATGAAAAAAATAAGTTGTGATTATATAAATATGTAATGTGAATTTTAAGTTTTAAGTCTAGGTATTTATTATCATGACAAATCTTTTATCAAAACGTGCAATTAACCGAAAAGAATATTTATATTAGAAAACATTTACAAGTGTTTTCTCATTGCATGAGTGTGCAATATGCAGTATGTTTTTCACCTTATATAGTAATGACAAAGAACGTTTTAACTTTGTAAAAAGAATAAAATTACAATATTGTTTAATGTATATAAAAAAAAAAAAAAAAAAAAAAAAATCGCTAAATCTATTTCTGTTGAAACCCAATAATGGAAAATTTGGCTAAGTACCAGTTTAAGGCACAAAGTTTTTATTGTTTTGTAAGTCATAACATATATCAGTAACAACTTTGTTTCCTCATAACATCAATCAAATCATTTCAATCCAATTATCATCAAAATAACGAAGTTCATGCAGCAATCTGGTAGAATTGCACTACAAATGCAAGAGATCTATTTCCAATCTACTTGCTGGAAAAATGCTACGTTTTGTGTTAAATTTTATACATCTTATATAAAATTAATTTCATAAAAGACAAAGCAAATCTACAATCAGATTAAATGTTTAAATGATTCCCATTTCAATTCACAAAATTATGTATAGCCAGCCGCATCTTAACTAACAAACTCTAACCTCAAAAATCTTTGTCAATATTGGAACAAAGAAACCAGGTTTCCCATGTTCACCGATTTACCTTCATCTGCAATAAAAATAACAACTTCGCTACATAAATAACCACTCTTTTAACATAAAAAGAGTTTTCTGATTCTTTTTTAACAGCATTAGAACAAAAGTTAACAAACAACTTGTTACCTGAAAATGGACAAGCTTTAAAGAATGATCGGATAAACCATGAACCTTCAATCTCCATTGTGTGGGTCCCACTCCCACTCCCACTCCATTTCTTCTTACAAACAAAAAAGAACCTTAGATCATATTTTCTTCCCCAAAGATCCCAATATGATGATCTTATTGTAAGTATTTATATCTAACTTATTTAAACACCCATTTGGTCAACTAACATTTGATAAGTATATCGATTAAGATGACAACCCTTCTCCTCCATAACACCCACAAGCTCAAAATACCTTTTAACCAAACCTCGTTTAAGCAACCCATCAAGAAGAATTGTCCAAACAACTTCATCCGAATTATACCCATCAAGCAAACCACAAAACACTTCCTTACCCTTTTCATGCTTTCCTTCCTCATATAACCCACAAATAAGCAGCTTATACGACTCTAAATCTACCAAAATCCCGTTTTCAACCATGTTGTTCACTAAACTCAATGCTTTATCAAACATTTTTAAGTAGCACGAACAATTCACCAAAGACGTGTATATACTTTCATTTGGAGAAATCCCGTTTGTCAACATATGATTCACCAACTTTAAAGATTCTTCAAACCGCCTTTCTTTACACAACCCCTTGGTCAACGCATCGAAAGTGTTGACTTTTAATTCACAACCCTGTTTGACCATTTCCGAAAACAGCTCGATTGCATCGTCGAATTCCATTATCTTCCACACGGTGTTCACCGGAATGGCATTGTCGATTCCGGTGTTTGACTTGTAGTTTTTCCTCAAAAGATGCTTCAAGATTATCGCGTATGTATGTTGAGAAGGCTCACATCCGGCATCCATCATACGTTTTAAGAAATCAAAACCACGGTTTATCTGTCCTACATGGCAACACGCATCGATGAAAACCGTATATGTGGCGGTGTCTGGTTTGACACCTTTTTGAATCATTTCATTCATCATATCTTCTGCTTCTTTTATCATTCCTTGAGTACAATATGCAAGTATAAAAGAAGTGTATGTACAAACATCGGGCTTCAATCCGGAAGCACCCAATTGGTTGAACAGCTTATGGGCTTCAAAAAAATCGAAACTTTTTAACAAATGTTCGATAAAGATTGTGTAAGTAGTGATTTCCACTTCAAACCCTATCTTGATCATCTTCCCGATTAACATTAAAGCTTCTTGAATCGTATCTTCTTTACATAATCCATGAATCAGTACATTATACGTCCAAGAATTCGGTGAGAAATCATTGGTCAACATTTCTTTAAACAAACCCATGCTAAGATCCGCCTTCCCAGTTTGGAAATACCCGTTTATAAGAGTCGTGTAGGTAACTTCATTTACTTTTATGCCCTTTTCTTTAAGCAACAAATGAGCTTCTTCTACACTCCCTCGTTTACATAAAGCCTCTATTAGAGCACTGTAGGTCCATTCATCAGGAAGAACACCATTGTCTTTCATCAAACCAATCAACCGATAGGCACTATCAACATGATTATGCTTACATTGTCCATTGATTAGCAAGTTGTAGGTGATAATAGTAGGTGAAAGTTTCATCTTCATCATCTTATCAAGCAATGCCATTGCCTTGTGAATGTTATCACCTTTACAATACCCACCAATCAACCCGTTGTATGTCCGGACATTTGGTTTTAACCTTTTCTTTTCCATTCTTTTAAGCATCTCGAATGCACTCTCGACCTTTCCTTCCTTACAAAACCCATCAATCAAAGCATTATATGTCACAACAGTACCCTCCACTCCTTTAGCTTCCATTCCATATAATAACTTTCGTGCTTCATTCAACTTTTTCTCTTTACACATGGCATCTATGAGAACAGTGTAAGTATGGGCATTCGGCTCACAACTTTTCTCACTCATTTTGCTATATAAAGCCCATGCTTCTGCTGTTCTACCTGACTTACTTAATGCAGAAATCAAAACAGTAAATGTACGGACTGTAGGGAAGCAATTATCATCTCCCATTCGGTGAAATAACTTCAGAGCTTCGTCAATACGATTTTCTTCACAAAATCCATGAATTAAATTGGTATAAGAAACCTCGTTTCTGCAACACCCTTTCTTAGGCATTACATCGAACACCTTGTGTGCGCTATCGACATCTTTATTCCTGCAATGGCCTAGAATCAAGGATGTATAAGTATGAGTATCAGGACTAAGCCCTGCTTGAGCAATCTTGGTAACATACAGGCCAGCTGCATCAACTTTCCCCAATTTACAGTATCCGTTCACCATGGAATTATAAGTGTATATATTCGGCATGATTTCATTATCTAACATCTCTAGAAACACATATTTCATATCGTCAATCATCGAAAACCTTGATAAACACATTAACAATGTATTATAACATCTAATACTGAGTTTAAATTTGCATTCAGAATCTTCATCGTCATCAGCATTCATTTTTCTCAGAAACCCCAAAACAAACCTCGCATCGTCGTCCGTTTCGCAAGCCTTCACCATCGAAATCCGGATCTTTTCAGCCACATTTAAAAATCGATTCTTGATCAGTATCGTAAGCAGTGATGCAAAAGACTCAACACTAGGTCTAAAATTAGATCTCTGTGACAAGATATTGAAAAATGAAAGAGCTGTTTGTGGCTTCAAGTTAGGGTTATCGTTGAAAAGAGAGGTGATATGTGATGGGGAAATCGATGGGATTAGGGTTTTGAGACGTGGGTTTTTCTGCCAATTGGGTAGCGAGAGGAGAGAGAGTAAATGAGATGCGGAATCTTCTCCCGTTTCTTCAATGGGTGAAGAAGGAGGCACAGAGTAATGGAGGAGAAATGAAGAGAAATATTTGAATTTGTTGATGAAGTGATCTGGGGCTTGTTGTTGGAGGATGCATGTTGATCGTATCATCATCCATGTAACGATTAAGTTCGAGTTACCAATCCATTTGAGGGCGAGATGTGTCTGCACATTGGCTGCAGCGGAAGGGAAGAAAGACGCAAGGTAGGGGGAATTGGAATCTTGAAAGGTTTGTGGGCTTTGTAAATCTTAATGAGTTGGGCACACATTAATCATCACCTCATGGGCCTATGAAGTATTTCAGCCTTTCACAATATATATTATCTAAATGTTATCTTTAAAGCCGGAATTTTAACTAAAAAACTAAACATTGCATAATACTAATTTGCAAAATCATGAGTTATTGTCTTATTGATGAGGAAGCTTTAGGATGCTAAGTTAACTACCTAAAAAATCAACTCAATTACTTATCAACGAACTTGTATTAGTTATTTATATACAATGTTGAAAGGTGAAATATATTTGTCAGTTTTCCATATACATATCGTAATCGAAAGATGATTGTCTAGGTATATACGGATATACAAATTACCATGTTAATGTCTTTTAGAACATGTTTATATATAAAATCTAACTAGATGCTAGAAGATTTACATGGAAGCGAGATAGCATCAACGTTAAGATGATATTTTAATTAATGAAAAAGCATGTCTAATGTCAAAACTTGTTTTACTATTTTATACTTTTTTTTGCCAAAAGAAAAGAATACACTTGAACATCATCGATATGTTTTGGAACCGGTTTGAGGACTCCCTGAAAGATCAATTTGTTCCTTGCGTTCGACATACAAAGCAAAGTGAAGATTATCAAGCAAACTAGTTTTGCCTTTTTATTGTCTGGGAGGTTAGCCAACAGTGCCAAATATAGTTGATGCATATCATAGTGAGTATTACGTAAAATATGAAAACGTAATTTATAACGACATAAAGGGAAAAAAAAGAAAAACAAAAACAAAATTTACATCAATATAAAAGAAAATGGGTTTTCAAACCGAAAACATGTCATGTTTGAATAATATATTCGGATTTATACCACTTGAAAGTTGAACTAAAATTGTATATAAATAAATAAATAAAAATCTAAGAGAGTTATAAAAAAGCGTTTGTGCCAATTTGTAAAAATAATTTGCAAGATGGCCCAAAGTTGTAAAAACCGAAAGCTGAAGGGGTACATGGTCGCATCCCTGAGTGGGTTATTCCAGAACCAGTTTATTTACCCACGAAAAAAAAAAAAGGAATAGAGGGGATGCGAAACCTGGTCACAAAGTCACGCTCAAACCATCAAGCTACGTAACATTTACGTTCAAATCTCCTATTTAAACACTAAAATAAGTTGTACGTCACATTTTGGTAATTGTATAGCTTATATTATGTGAGCATTAATAATGAATTTTTATTTATTGAGAGCACTATTTTAGTTGTTTGTTTTGTTTAGAAGGGTAATAAAAAGTTTGAACACTAGTTCTACCACTTCTACGTAACAAAATACATATATATTTTTCTCATTTGCATTTGTAATTATAAAAAATGTAAAGACATCACTAGGAAAATAGTCGAACAAACATAAACACAAAGACAATGTTGTGTAAGAAGGGGGGAGCTTCAAGCCATGTTTACAAGCTTTGCACGTCGAGTGAGTTGATCGACATCGACCCGCAAGCCAAGATTAGACAGCTCCGGTAAGTTAACCGACCCTTGGATTTCCAACTCACTAACCACCCTTTGATTCTCTACATTCCCTTCCAACAAATTCCTCACACCCCAAATACCCCACTCCCTCAAAAACGGGTTTTCATCATCCGTGACACAATGCTGCAACATCAAAAGTATCCCATTCTTCTCCCTCACCTCATCTTGAACTCGCTTCCTCCCATACGCACAATTCCCAATAACCGCAATAATATCACTACGAAATCCCTTATAAGGGCATATTTTACCCGAATGAGTTTTTGTTTCTTCATTCTCATCATGTTTGATTGTTTTTCTTATTATTGAAGGAGGTTCAAGTTCACGAAGCAAATCGAGCAATGTTTCGATAAACCCTAATGAAAGCAACGGATCGACCATATCCACATGACCCGGGTCAAATGCACAAATGTCTCTCAATATGCAGAGAGAGTATCCAAGGGCATCGATGTCATTTGAGCCGGTTGGGAGACCGGATTTTGGGCGTGAAGCATAATCAACAACACCTAAACTGGTTTTTAGGATCTTGAAAATATCTAAAGCGAAAAACTTTGATAGTGTAATATGCTCGAGTTGCTCGTTTATCAATTCGGATAGGATGCTTAACAAAAAGGATTGTTCTTGTGTGAAGGTATTTGTAGTTTCAATAGAAGGATGAGGATATTGTAAGTTTGAGAAGATGGGTGTGAAGTAAGATTCTTCAATGCATGTTCTTGAAAGAATTAGCTTCACCCAATCTTCTCCAAACCCCACTGGTGCACATAAAAATAAAACGAGTTAAAAGTCAAACTCAAGAAATTGAGAAAACTAAAACAAATTCAAAGGAATAAGAATCAAGAAACATACCTTCAGATGCAGTTCTTATAATTTCAACAAGAAGAGGCAAAACACGATCCGAACACAACTTGTCAAGCAGTTCATGGTTCTCTTCAACACAAGCATAGATGATCATACACAAAGGGTCACAGGTTTCTTTTCTTCTAATCTTTGCAATCTCAAGAAACTTCAAAGTATAAATATGGTTCCATATAACAAGTTGATGTTCCTCTCCAGCCAATGAAACATTTGCTACAACTTGTAATCCCATTCGAATAAGCCCATGATTTGAATCGTTAACAATTTCCTTACAACTGATTATATTCGAAACAATATCAACTCCATTTTGTTCGATAAATGAATTCTGATTTCGTAATTCTCCAGCACATAGGTTTCTGATGAGTTTAAGAGCCAATAAAAGTGTGTCGCCTGAAGAAGGGTATGATAGTAATTTACAGAGTTGAAGGGTTGGGTTGAGCATATTCTTGGAAGCAAGATCAGATCGACCCTCTTTTGTTCTAGCCAATTCTATTAGATTCTCCAAAGCTTTGTTTAGTGTTGATGAATTGGTAGCAGAAAAGAAAGGTTGAAGGATGCTTTCTGGTATAGATTCCTCCAATGAAATTGCAGAATCCATTTTGAAATCCAATAAAAGAAGCACAAATAATCACTCGTTTGATTTGCCTACAAAGATGAATGCAACATAGTTGATCAAATAGAAAGCTCATAATCGTTGCACTAGTTTTATGGCGCATAAACTCCTTGTATATGTAAAATGACCAAAAAGGGCATATGCTTATATATTGTGGATTATTTCTTATTTTACATATATTACTTTATCTTCAATTGAATCATTAATAATAATCTTTTTGAAAAATACTTACATTTACAACATCACAATTTATTAACTTCAATAATTATTTCGATAATTTTTTATATTCATGCACATTCATCTTTAACAACAAATGTTCATGATCATAAACTTCTTGCAAAGCCACAGAACCAAATGCAATCCCAAAATGATAACAATTGCCAATAGTTCCTTCAATATTTCCACCACTATAAGGTAACAGTTCATAAAAGAGTGTTCAATGAAAGATTTGAGTAGAATCATACTTTAGCATCAGTGAAAGCATGAAGTGGCTATAGGAAACAACACAAAGCCTTCTACAACAGTAGAGAACTTTAAACTATAAAGAATAGAGCAGCAGCAATGAGTACCGAGAAACCAAAAATCTAGACACTTCTCTCAGGCATTTTATCAAACAGTTTGTGTGCCTTCTTGCAATGATTCTTTAAGAGAGTAGTACCACAAAAGGAAAATCAAATTGGTTCAGCAACAGGTACTAAATTACTTTAGCAATTGGTACTAAAAACAATAATTTGAAACTACTTACTAGTAAGTTTGATGAGATTCTAGATGTCGAATTCAGAAGCTTTGGGAGGCGTAATGGAATACAAAACAAGACGATGAGCAGGTTTCCCGCTTTGCTGTGCATCTCCCTTCTAGTCTTGATTTTTTACCCCTGAAATAGATTTTGTTACGGTTCGATGAAGAAGATGGAGTCGATGGTGAAGAACAGATGACGAGAAACAGCGCTAATGGAGAAGGACAAGCCAAGTCGATGGACCCTATTGATTACAGGTTAAAATTGGGCAATTTCATCAAATGACAAAAGGAAGTGGGTGCGAAAGCCTTTCAGTTAGGAGCTGTTTGGAAACATTTGCCAATTTTCATATAATTCATATGCATAACTCGTAAAAGAATTCCTTTTCAAATATTACTCACAGTCATACTCATACAATCCAATTAGCTGATAAGTTTTTGCTATTTCTTCATTCCAACAACTAACAAAAACATAAGGGCAAATCTATCCCAATTGAAACTCAAACTGAAGTAGTCCCAGGTTATCCAAACAAAACAAATGAAGAGATAAAAAAAAGACTTTTTGAAAAAGAATTGTGGGTATATCTCAGCAACACCAAAGAAACATTGTAAAATCTTACAATTGATAATGCCAAAGCTTGGTGTTCCTCATTGCTGACTTCTGAAGCATATGTCTATAACAGATTTCAATAAATAACAAAGATCATTCACGTCTTCTCTTAACAAATTACAGTTGCTCACAATCAAAGAATTAGCATAAAAATAGATTTTTAGGGTACACAATCGACACTAGCGTCTGATAACCGATTTTTAGGGTTCGAATTTGATAACAATTTCAGAATAACCGATTTTTAGGGCAAGAAAGAAAAACAAACGTTACCTAGAACCATTCCAGAATAACCGACGAAGGAGCAAGGGTGGAGATCGACGCTGTCAGAGCTTAGCGTCGGAGGTCGTAGCTTAGAAAGGTGACGATGAGGGTGGCGGTGCTACTGTACGAGGTCGATGATGGGAGGAAGTCGGTCGCGCTGAAGTCGGTCGGAGGTGGGAGGAGACCAGAATATCAACTGAAAGGTTGGTGTGGTTTTGAAGGAAGTGAGCTTACAAGGGCAAAGGGCAAAAGAGGGAACGCGCGTCTCTCATTTTTATTCAGATACTCGGTATAACTTGTAAAGTTTAAGGTACGACAAAATTGCAAAAATGGTCCCTGTTGTTGTCAAATTTATGCAGTTTTGGTACAAAAAAGTTTAGTGGTGCATTAATAGTCCAATTTTGGATACTTTATATGGTTTTTGTCCCTATGGTTGGCATTTATATGTAGTTTTGGTCTATACTCCACCTGAAATGACAAATCTGCCCTTAAATAATTTTATTTTTAATTTAATTTAATTTCTTTTCTAATTATTCTAATTAAAAAAAGAAAAAAAAAACAAACCACCCCTCTCATCCCTTCTCTCTCTCTCTCTCTCTCTCTCTCTCTCTCTCTCTCTCTCTCTCTCTCTTTTTCCTGTTATTATGTTCTTCATCCCCATGACCCATATCCTTGTTCCCAAACTAAAATCGTTTTGATTAGTACATAAATATGAATGATATTTTGCCAATTTTGGATTTGCAATTTGTTTACGAATCGGAAGCAACCCCTTCTTCTCCATATTCAAATCTCCACAGAACCCACCACCTGTCTTCATCAATCTTTCTCAAACCTTAACCCTAGCAATAACGGCTCTCTCCGTTCCTGATAATCGAAGACCCACATGCCTCTCTCCACCTCCTGCTTATACAAAACCTCCTACCCCTAACAAACTCCCATGACAATGGATTGTGACCTAGATGTAAATTCAAGCGACTTTGCCTACTTACCACCACCTTTTCGTCTTCTCTGGTAGCTCTAGATGTTCGTTTCCAGATCTGCAAACGAGAGCAACATACTTGATTTGTTCTTTAAACATATCGATCTACATATTTAAACTCGAGGAATAAGAGGGAGGTGATAAAACCCTTCAAATCAAATTCGTCTTTTTTTAAACCATCGATCATCTGGTGCTTTAGGTTTTCTGGGAGGGAGAGGCAGTTGGAAGAAATCCGATGAACAATGGTTTGGTGGTCAGTGGTGAAAGATCGTCTCGTTAAGGAAGAAAAGTTGAGGGTGGGGGGGGGGGGTGGAGGTGGTTGTCGACGAATAGTGATGGAGAACGGCGATGGTGGTAAATGATGATGGCATCATCTTCTGTGATGGTGGTGGTAACGGCTAAAAACCCAATTCATTGAAAGATCGTTATGGCAGTATTTGGGTGGGGACAACTCCGATCAGAAGAGTGGTGTCGGTGGGTAAATTTCATTGAGGTCTGAGGAAAGAAAGATGGTGGCGGACGGTGGTAACTGTTGGTGGTTGCAGTCGGTGGTGGTGATGATGGCATCCATTAGGGGTGATATATTTTTTGTATGTGTGTGTGTGTTTGAGAGAGAAAAGACAAATAAAATATAAAATAAATATAAATTAAATTAATTTATGTATTTCAGCATCAAAAAAATGAAAAATGTAAATTATAAGGGCGTAATCGTCTTTTTAAGTGTGTAGGGACCAAAAACAATAAAAAGATCAAAAATTGGACTAGTGGTGCACCAAGGTATCGTTTTGGACCAAAATCGCATAAATTTGCCAAGCACAGGGACCATTTTTGCAATTTTGTCTTAAGGTACTGTTTGTTTTGTTGTGAGTTAAAAGGCTACTAAAATTAGCTGAAATCTAAATAAAATGATTTTTTTAAACTTCAAAATGATTTTTTAATATTTTTATGATTTTATTATAAATAATTAACGAATCTAGATCAACTTTTATGTATTATTGTATAAAAAATAAAAATGGTGTTAATTAATATAAATATTTGATAAAAAACAACAACTTTAGTTGCAAAATTATAACTAAACATTATACTTAGTGATTAAAGAATTTGATATATAAATCGATGTAAATAAACTTTGAATTTTTCAATTAAATCCATTAAAAACGTACCATAAATATTTTCTCGAGAAATTGACGATACTGTATTAGATAATGTTTTACAAAATTTAACAAAAAATATATAAGAATATATTATGATTTTTTTTTATATTTATATAAACAACTTCAACGACTATTATTGTAATAAATCTATATTTATAAATTTGTCAAAAATACCATGTTTGTATCGTCGAACGTTTTTTTTTTAAGTTTTGTAATTTTTTTTCAAATTGTTTATCATTAATATAGTTGGAAAAAAATATAAATTAAAAAAAAACTTTATATATATATATATATATATATATATATATATATATGTGTGTGTGTGTGTGTGTGTGTGTGTGTTTTTAGGCTAGAAGATGTTAGAAGACTCTGGTCCACATCTGCGCCAAGAAGAGGGCGCGCATACATTTTTAGGTATTCAGTCTTCAAAAAAACAAACAGTCTGCGAAGGCTAATGTCTGCGCGTGGTCTGCGCGGCGCAGACAGAAGAGGCCATGCAGATCTGCAGACAAACAACAAACATTATCTAAGTGGCTTTTAAAAAATGAAGAGGCTTTTATTCATAGCTAACCAAACAGAATCTGAAAAATTAAGAGGTTACCTCTTAATTTTACCATTAAGAGGCTATCAAACAGCCCCTTACTCGGAAGGGTTTTGAGGAAAGTTGGTTGAGGATGTGTTCTTCATCAGCACATTTCTGAGGAACCGTTCTTCAGTTAACCATAACAAAAATTGAAATATTTATGATTTTTTCTAAAAGTATATATTTTGAATAATCTTGTTAAATATATTTTGAAGTAATTAGTTATTAATCAAATCGAATATTAAATTCCTATAAGATGAATGTAGCACTTTAATTCTAGTAATATCGATTAAATAATTATTATGTAATTTTAAATCAAAGAAATAAACCATGATAAAAATCGGGATTTCATTAGTCGGAGAACAGTTTCTCAGATGTGTGCTGATGATGAGGAACTATACAACAAACTTTTTTTTGTTTTCCCCCTGCCACATCAATTCTTCGTTACTATTCACATTTCTCAGAAGGTAAAAGGCTTTCTTAGAGGGCTCTGAGAATCCCTTGGTCATTCTATAAAACTCAAATTTTTATGGTCAAAATGTTCAAACACCCCATTCCCTTTGGTCATTTATGAAATTTCTCTTCCGGTTATTCAAAACATGGTTTTCTTTTTTATCAGTTTGGTGACTGGTTTTTTATTTGGGTAAAAAGTAAACCGAAAAAATCGATATTTTTACTTTGTTGAAAGAGTTTGGTTTTCCGTTTCTAGGGTTGCTTTTTGGGATTCCGGTTTTAATCCATGGGTTCATTAAGAAACGTTTTCCAAATTTCTAAATAAACTAAGATTGCCAAGTCATTCGATGGAATGCAAACTCAAACTTAGATTTTGCATAAATACTAATATACATTGCAAAGTCATTCAGTGGATTTCATGTTTCGAGTTCTTAGTCTTAATATAAGTTTCTAATTGCATAAATAATACACCTAATGGGTCTATTTTGGTTTCATAAGTTTCTAATTGCATAAATAAATACTCATACATCCAGTGAACACCCTTTTTGAAAAGATTTAAAGCTTTTTTACTGCTTACATCAACAATCCTTAGTTTATGTATATACGTGAGTTGCCCTTGGTGCCAAACTTGCTAGTACGGGCTTCATGGTGTTTGATTGCGATAATAACATATCACAATCTTTTTCGTTGTAAATTTCCAACATGGAGACCTAATAAATAACGGATTAGCTTCGGTTGTTAGTAGAAACAGGATATGTTAAGTTGTATTGTGTTTGTTGTAAATACTAGATTGGACAAAGACTGTGTTGGAACAAGAACTGTAATTTTTTGTTACCGCCCAAAAAGGTGAATGCCACGTTAGGCCTCTGGTATACAAAGGATGAGCTTTTTAACCGAAAAAATTGTTAGGGTCGAAGTCTTGTTGTAAAGAGTCGAAGTGTGTATTGTGTTTCGTATGTAAGTGTGTATTGTGAACCGAAACAAAACCAGTTAGTGGTATTTATTCCAGTTTTAGGTTCTTAATTTACGACTTATTTGGTTTCAATTTTTCTGGTTACGTGACAGTGTTCAGGTTCCGAACACCTTAGATAACACACATTTTATTAGAACCGAACAAGAATCGGAACCGATTAGTGGTATTTGGTCCGGTTTCGGTTCTTAGTTTACGACTTACTTAATTTTTGTTTTTTCAATTCTATCCTGGTTTACATGCCTACGGCAACACAAATGTGATAGGGTGTCATGTGACTTCCACATCATCACACTTAAACCACACTAATGCACCACTATAAGATACTTACAACTCCACATCATTATCTCTCTCTTATTTTATTATTATTAAAAATAAATAAATATATGTTTTATTTAATTAAAAGGTGGAGAGAGATAGAGTCGAGCCCCGCTCGGTACACAGATTTGTTATTCTTAGGCCCCACCTGACATCGGACCCCGTGCACTATACACATACAATATATATCACATAATCACACTAACACATATAATGATCATAAAATAATAGCATACATTTCAGTCATCGGGCCTCGCCCAACATCGAGCCTCACTCAGTAAACATAGCAACGCATAACACAAGCAAGGTCCGCGCATACACTTATCATCCTAACATAAAAAATAAGGGTCGGTATTGGTGCCTTAGACTCGCTAAACCTAGTGAGGAAACTCACCTCGACTGCTGGATCTCATAGAAAATCCCTGGTTGCTGGACCGATGAATCTCTGAGCTATCAATACAAAATAACTCCCAATTAACATTTGGGTTCCAACCCATATCCAACAATCCATAATTAAGGTAAAAAGACCATTTTACCCCTTAACTAGTTTGGTCCAAGACTAAGTCCCAAACTCTCCATCTAAAAGGCTTAAAACCAACTAATCATCTAAGGCTCATTTATGACCCAGTCTTCCAAATTGGGCCCAAACCCATACATGGTCCTTACCCTAAAGCCTAATAAATTTTCCTAGTCTAAAACACTTGCACTCATATGGCCCAATAAGAACTCAAACACCCAAGTCCAAACTCGAAGCCCAAAATGCAAAAACCTATCTGACTGAGTACGCGGGGCGTACTCAACTATACGCT